TTTGCAGCAGACTAATTATTCCTGGACAGCTGATTTTTTTTTTTCCTTTTGCCACTGGCTTAGAAAATAAATCTAACCAAAACAGGATCCTCTCCTCTAAAACTATTGACTACATTAATAATATTTTATTTTGATTCTTTCAAATGTGCCTCTCCTTTAAAAAATGTTGTTTTTCTTCCTTAACTTTTAGAACACAATAATTTCTCCTCCATCTAAAGCACTTACTTATAAATAGAGCAGTTGCCTGTTATCTAAGCCTAGGATTTAGCTGTAGTAAGTCCAAAGGACATACAAAAGATTTTGCTTTTAAACATTAGACATTTTACTTTACCAAAAAGCACATAAATGTGTATCTAATTGCCAGTCTTTCAGTTTGGGGTTAAGGCTTTTCTTAGAAAAGGAGTCTGTAAGTTAGAATTCATTTCGCCTTTTTGCATAAGCTTTTCCAACTCTGAATCTTTTCTGATTTTTTTTTTTTCTTTTTGGAAGGGGATCCATTTTTTAATATCAGTAAAAAGTACCAGCTCTCAAATCCAATGTTGTGCTGTTATTTGTATAGTTTTCTTTAGTAAGGGCTTAAGTTCCTAATGTAAAGATGATATTATTTTAAATCAATATTCTTTGTTTCCTTCAAATTTTATTTTAGTACATGTTTTTATTAGTACATATTTGCAGTGCATAATGATTGCATTGCTTATGGGGAATTGGTGCATGTACATAATACATCTTCATTCTTTTTCATCCCCTTCCTCTCTCCTCCTTCCTACCTCCATCCATCCCTTGGTCCCCTTCCCTTTTGCAAAAGATCTACCTTCCTAGTTCCTGTTACTTGTCTTTTATTTTGATACTTATTTATATTTTGGGTTTCTCACATAAGAGAAACTGCTATATTTAAGCTTGTGTGTCTCTTTTATTTCATTTCACATTATGATCTCAGTGTGCATCCATTCTACAGATGACTCAAGTTTATCCCTCTTTATGACAGAGTAGTACTCCATTGTGTATAAATACTACATTTTCACTATCCAGAATCAATATGTTGTACAGAGTTAGCTCTCTATATCTGAGGGCTCCTCATCTGTGGATTCAACATACCACAAATTGAAAATAATCTTAAAAAAGTAAAAATAATCATCTGTACTAAAAATGTTCAGACTTTTTTTTCCTTGTCATTATTCCCTAAAACAATGCAATGTAATACCTATTTTCCTAGCATTTAT